ACACGTTCATTTAGGAGTGGAGGGATATTTTCTTGTAGGTGAGGTGACTTTTGTTCATTTATCGCTCTGAGCAAAAGGTAATGTGTTTTCAGTGAGTCGCAGGGGTGGGCGATGAACTTCAGAGATCAGCAGAAAGAGCACTGGTGAAACCTCCTGGAGGCCTCAGTGCCATCGCCCATGGCCTGCTCAAGGGAAGTCCTGCTACTGGGGACATTTCTCCAGGTGTCTCAGAGAGACAGTCTCACTGAGGCTGTGGGCAGAGGTGACACAGTCACCATATCCAGTGAGCAGCCTGAGAAACCTAGCAATCCTCCCTGAAGGCTTTCTACAACTCACTAATACAATCTGATCTGATTGCAGTCCAATACAAGACATTCAGCAAGCAGAGGACTCTCGTGTATTGCTGATGTACCTGTTAAACCCCGACAGGCTGGGTGGAGTTGTTTCAGGTTAGGTCTCTGTAAAGACATGCTGTTCCTGCTCATCAGCATTTCTCATCGGGGGGCTCTGTTTTGGGACCTTCCCTGGCATTTTCAGGACAAACTCCCCCAAAATTTTGGAAATTGGGAAAACAGCTCTGCCATCAGTCTGTTGGGGATACCTTTTAGGATGCCTTCTACTTCTGTCTCAGCTGCCTCCTCATTAGCTTAAGTGTCTGAAAGAAATAGGAGTTGTGGGAATTTGTACAAGATAATGGTAGGGAAAAGTAATGATATTTTTCTCAAACACTGTAGGAATATGCCCTCTCTGGATGCCACTGAATTGTTCAAGTATGTTGGAAGCTCATATTGAAATGGTAGCCAAAGATATCTGTCATTTCTGAATAGTCAAGAGACTCTTCCTGCAAGCTGAGGCATTAGTCATAGCTTGCAGGGCTTTTTTTCCCCCCCCTTTTCAAACCTCCATCCCACGCTAAGGAATAAAGGAGCAAACCATCTAAAGATTATCCTTGTTTCATTAGCAAATCTGAACAAGACAAACTACCCATGCTAGCATGCCAAGAAATATAGTGGCTCCCAGTCCAGTTTCAGCACATCTTCAAGGTGTTTATTTAAAGCTTCTTGAGCTTTAAACAGGTATAGGCCAGGTCAATTTTCATACCAAAAACTTCAAGGAGCCCTCATAAAGCACAACTAGCAGAGGAGACTTGGTATGGCACTGTTTTACAGGGTGGCACTTGTATTTTCATGGATACTTGCCATCTGCAAGGACCAGTGTGGTCTGGCAGCCACATGGGGAAAAATGTTTGTGTAGATGTTCCCTGCTCTGCTGTCATCAAACACTGAAACAGCTTGTCTAAAAGGGTTGAAGAAACCAGAACAAAGTCCCCGGTGCCTAGATCTATAGTTAGAGGGGCATTACTGGATAATGTGATCCTACCAGATTGTAAGGTTTGTTTTTTTAAAACATTAGAGGACTTGCCAACCCTGAAGGGACTGAAAGGAGGATGAAGAGGAAGAAACTACCTGGATATGCAGCACTGCAGATTAAAGCCCGAAGTCCCAGAGCTCAGCACATGCCTTGCATCTGTGTAACATCCCTGCTGCTTCTGGGCTTCACCCTGAGAATTGCTCAAGCACTGCGTACCACCAAACATCCCCCCTGCACTCACATTAGGCTTCTCTTTATGTTCAGAGGGAAACAACAAAAGTTCCCCTTTTCCTTTACAGCTCTTTCACTTTCCGCCTAATGAAGGTGGAATATAAAATGTTGAAGGAAAAAGCAGTTTTTCCCCTACAGTAGAATTTCCTTTTCAGTTATTTTTAATCTGACATCTGTTTTAACATGCACTCATACACTACATTTATTTTAATTTTTTCCCTCCCTTGTGTTTTATTATTTACCTCCTGTTCCAAAGAGATCACAAAAGATTATACTTCCGTGAAGCAGTAACAGTGGTAGCGATGATCTCTCTTACTTCTTGTGACTTCTCTTTTCACCCATTTTCCCTTTGTCTACATCTTGCTGTCACTGCCCTCCCAGAGGCCTTGTTACAGTCGCTACCAGACGGGGCGATGGCATTCACGTTTTTTGGAATTGGACAGATTTGTGCTAACTAGAACACAAAGCCCTTCTTGTTCAGAGCCCAGATAGTCACTCTTTGTTCTAGTTTTGCTCAAGCCTTTCAGTACATGAGAGCAAGAAACCCCACTCTGCCTCAGATGATGCCTGTGCTTTGAAGAAAGCCCAAGACTGCTGAACGCTGCCGAAAACAGCCAATGCTGAGATGTGGCAGCCTTTAGCCAGAGCTGTGATGTGACACCAAATGTTTCATTTCCCTTGGAAATGAAGGTAACATCCTTAATCAACTTATGTGTGATTACATTAAATGACGGAGAATGTAAGTTCTCCAGCTTCTCCTCAGAAGCTGGTTGCCTAGCTCTGAGCATTAGGGGCAAAAAAGTATTCTCAATGGACCGGTAATTGCTACAGATTTAGCACCTCCCAGTCCTGCAGCCAGGCTGGTGACCCTTGGGGCATCTTCTCGGTCAGTAATACCTTAGGCTGGCTTGTCCAGCTGGCAGGCACAGCAGTGCGTCTTGTCAGATACCTCCTGCAGCGCATCTGCTCTCTGGGCCGCGACAGCAACAGCAAGCCGTAAACTGTGGGATAACCAACCCAGCCTTGGCCCTGACCTTCGCTGAGACATGGGAATTAACTTGGTTTGTTGGTTTGCTCATTTGTTTGATGGTTCCAACTAGTAAATAGGAGATAACTCACGTAAGTCTTTGCATTCAAACAGATCTCATGTTATTAAGTGAAATGGAAAATTGAGCTTATCAAGCTTTCCCAATTTTCTGGGCAAAGCATCATTCATTTGGGGGTTTGGCTTTATACAACACCGTACTGTAGAGAAATGACACTTCTACTAGCAGAGCCTGAAAAGCTCCTTTGTCTAGTCCTCCCACAGAGAAAGGAAGACTTACAAAAACAAGTGTAATAAATTTCAGTATCACTTCCTTGGTTTGTTAACATCCATTAAAAGTCCTTTGTTTTCATTTTCTTTAAGGAAGTAGTTCCAAACTGATGCTTTTCAGTTCAGTGTTTTCAAATGTTCCCTATGAACCAGGAGATCTAAAACCGTTATGCTTCAAGAAAGCTCTGCTTCCAGAAGACCATATTTCTGCAATTTCCAAGAATTAGCAATCCACAAGATGTCCCTAGTGCTCAAACCAGAGTCACTTAAAACTACTAGACACAATAGGAATGGTTAGAGCATCTTGTGGGCACTCCTTGTATCGATGTTAAATTTTATTAAAGGATATTACAATAACTGTGTCACAGTTCCTGTTGCTCTGTTGTTATTGTAGGTCTCACAGAAAGTGAAGGAGCTGTAACCTGTACATAATATTATGAAGGGTCTCCACAATATAGTTGGATGGAGCCTGATGGTCACCCATCACTTACTTACTCTTCCTTTTAAGGATGTGCAAGGACTGTAACCTTTTTTGATGCTTCTTTCTTTCTTTCTAAGTCTTACCGCCCCTCAACTTACAGTTCAGGCTCTCTAGGATTCTAATAAAAATGGTCAATTAGTAATTTCAGTTATGATGTCTTTGCATATTATAAATACTTTTATCCTTGGTTGCCCTATTAAGTAAGAACTGACCAGATGGACATTTCCCCATCGTTTTCTCCTGGGTAGGTTGCATCTAATTAAAAGCAATTCCCTCCCTCTACTCCTACTGCACACTTTATATATCATCCAGATGTCAGCACTGGTAATTTCAGCAAAAGCACACCGAGATTTGGATAAAAGTTGCTGTTTCTATTTTTTTTCCCCCAGAGGAGGCAGGGAGCCAAAGTTCCAACTGAGCAAAATAAAATTAAAAGTAGATCAGCTTTTTCTGTCTCAGTAGCATGTGCTGAAGTATATAATGTATGTTCTCTGCTTCAGAAAGGAAATGAAAGAATGAACTTATACTACCAATGAAATAAAGATATCAAAGTATTACTTGCCCCAGCTGATATGCATGCTTCACATATAATTACTATTTAATATCTTTGTTTCCTACAAACAAGAAAAAAGCTTACCCTTTTTCCCAATTCCCTCTTCTTGTAAATAAGTTGATGCAGAATATTCTAGATTTGCAGTTTCTACTTGACTTTCTTCTCAAATTTATTCTCTTCTTTGTGAAGTAGTTAACAAAATGAAGCTATTTAAAAACCTAAATGAATAAATGTTATAAAAATAATTAGTATACTAGACTGACTCGCACAAAACATATGTTATACTCTGAAATATATTTAGATGGGAGTGCATAATTGCCTGTTCTTTTTCTAATGGCCTGAAGCAGAGTGCTAAATCTGAACTTTTCTCAAAGTCTATTCAGCCATGGTGCACTGCCCCCTCCCTGGTTACTGATTTCAGGTCCCCACCACCTTTCACATGCTTTGTGCAGCAGATACAGCCAGCTGCAATAGTCCAGATAAAGTCTCAATTCTTCTTTGACAAAGGGAAATAAATAGCAGCAAACAGGCAGCCACGATGACGGAAGCGACAGCAGTGGCAGTGCTGGTCAGGGCGAAGGGCAGCAGTACAAGCACAAGCCCAGAAGACCACACAGAGAGCACTTCCAGATCCCTGTGGGTGCAGCCATACGTCCTGCTGCCAGCCTCCGACGTGAGCATCTCTCTCATGGGGCCAGCACTGGAATGAGCACCAACACTCCCATGGCCCTGCCCAGACTCTCTCCACCCGTGCACCCATGGGCTCAGGAGTCACACTCAGATAGGCACAGCCGTCAAGTATGTTGCAGGAGTGCCAGTCTCCAGCCCTGCCTCTGCCTCCTGGGTGGACCTTGGACTTGTGCTGCTGGACTTTGTAATGCTGAGACATCTGCTTATTCCTCAGGGAAAACAAACAAACAAACAAACAAACAAATAAAAAACACCCCAAATCAGAATCATCTTTATTAGAATATGCTTACAGATTCTGCTACTTCCCTCCTCTCCCTCCCTCCCCCCCCCCCAAAAAAAAAGAGAAAAAATATCACAGGTTTCAACACAAAAGATGCTTTAACAATTTTACTAGGATTCCAGTTTCTTCCAAAACACTGGATGGCTTAAAGCTGCGCAGTATTTTAAATTGTTGTATTTGTAACAAAAAAGGAAGCGACTATCAGATTTTCAGAAAGCCAAACCTTTCCATGTGCAGAATGAACCTCTTCCCACCGAAGCAAACCTACAGCAAGAGTCCATGTGCACATCAAACAGATAGGGAAAGGTAGGCAAAGGGGTGCATCAACAAAAATACAAATTCTGCTATCAATTTTGCTAATCAACTCGTAGGTCCCATGAAAAATGGGAGGATGTATCCACAGGTACTCACATTAAATAGGAGGCATGGTCGGACCTTCCTCAATTTTAAGAAACATTAGAGTACTTCCTCTAGAAACCAAATCATATCTACAGAATAGTTTCTATGTTAACTAAATGTCTAAAGGACAATCAACTACAAAAAAAGTGAACTTTGCAAGTGAGGTGACACTTTCTATGACAGAAGCATTGAAGTACAGTGTAAACATTGACATGACTGGAACTGAACAGCAGCAAAATCCCTGTGACGTGGCTGGGTGGGCATGACAGAGGGCCAGTCTGGCAGGCAGCTGATGGGAGGTGACTTTGTACAACAGACTCCACATTACTGGAAGTTCAGCAGCAGAGTTTTACTTTAAACACGCAAACAGGGACTGGACTTTTTCCTTCCAGAAACTTTTGGTGAGACCAGAAGGCAAATCCCGTAGCAAAGGAAGGCAACTTCCCCTGAAAACAAACGTGAAAACAGCCACAGCTCAGTCTACTGAGCCCTCATTTGCTGTGTTGAGACCTAAACCAGAAAAAGCTTGAGAGCCTTGGGTGAACTACTTACTGGGAAATGAAGGCCTATTTTTAGTACTAAGCACGGCATATAGGATTATGATTTCTGTATATGTTGCTTCTCTGTTCTTTTTTCCTGCTCAGTTTTCCTATCTGTCCAATGTGTTTTATAGAGCAGTAGTGACTCAGGTGGTTTAACCAGATAAATAACTGAGTTATTATCTTTATGAAGTCAAGATCTCTTTGTAATAAATGTACCTCGTAGCTTGATTTACAGCAAAATCCTCCTCTTACTTCCCTGATGAGACCTACTTAAGTCAGTGAGACTAGTCATGATGATAAGATAATTAAGTTTTTAGTACAACTCTGGTTAGTGAGGAGAATGCAGCTCTGAAGTAATGAATCTACTAGCTCCAGTCTGATATTCAAAAGGTGTTGATAATTTAGGCATTACTCTTAATGTGCTCTGAGAAAAGTATTCTTTCATTAAAGCTGTAAACCCTGCATAGGCCACAATTCTTTTAAATTAAAGAAATGCTTTCAGAATGGCAAAGTTGAAGTTCAGACAGCATAGCAGTGACACCTGCAAACTGACAGTCAAACCCCCCTACATTAAAATGCAAAGATTTGCATGAATGTGTTTAAAAATGACAGGAGACAGGAATGGGAGCTTCTAAGCAAGTTAGACTAAAATTTTTAAGAGTGAAATGCCTAAAAATAGGCCCCTGAATGCATAGTTAGGCACCTATATAGAGGCTGCTTGATTTTCAGTTGTTCTGATCACCCAGAGCTCCCATTAACTTCAGGAGCAACTGTGGATACTCAGCTGTTCTAGAAATCAAGCCACCTTTATTCAAGGGTCTAAATATGGATGTCTGTGCCCAGGTTTGGGGGGAAAGAATAAAAAATAAAAGAAAAAGGTTTTTGCTACCAAGATTTTATAAAAGAAAGAAATAACCAAGTTTCATTTTCTCAGGTTACAATGCTTGAAATTGAATCAACATAACAATTAATAGTGCCACATATCTGTGCAGAAGATTTAGTCAGAGGTGAATGGAAAGCTGTTCCAAGATCTGTAGCTCTTAATTAGCAATCTGAAACATTAGTTAGATATTTCATATTCTGAGACTGCAAAGTGTTACCAGGCCACCTAAATCTTTTTCATAGTATTTCAGTGTTGCCATTAATAAGCTTTTCAGGCTGGTCTGAGGAAGACTTTGCAAGATTAACTTTGCAAATCTGTAAGTATTAACTATTTAACTGTTTCTGAATTACCATTTTTTCTACTTTTGGATCAAGTACAACCAGCAGACTTGAGCATATTTTTAAATACTATAAAATATGAAGAAGGGAGAATTAGGCCTTTAATTCTATGAAATGCACTCGCTTGTCAGAAGACTTCTGAATGCTGTTTTTTTTAAAGACCTCTTTTAAAAAATAATCCTGAGTTGATTTTGCATTTAAGCCATTGCCAGGTCATGCTGAAGTGCATAAGAGCCAGTCACATGGTGGAAAATCTGAAAGAAGAAAGAAAATTCATGATGGAATTACATATGACTATAAATTTCCAAGTGCCATGGAAGTAATAAATTAAAGGCATGTCAGATGAAGATGACGGATATTTATTTGTGTGTGTGTGTTCATAAAATATGATGTAGTATACCTTCATATACTTGTTTATAGGATCTGAACTAAGGGCTCTTGTTGCCTTCCTTGGGAAAAAAAGTAAAAACTCCTGTTTTTAAATAAGCTTTCAAAAACAGACAAGTAGAAGACAATGCTTTACTCTCACTGTAATCTGATTTTGATGATTTTAGTATTATTTCTAATATTCAAAGTATTCAAAATTGTTTGTGCTTTTATATGGTTCATTTCATTTTCTTTACTGTACTGCCTTAGGGCAAGAGGTTTCTCCATTTTCTGTGTTTTGCTTTTTTATATATTTCTTTTAGTGAATATAATGAATGGCACATTTTATGATACATGTTTTTAGATGGCAGAGTATAGCAGAGCTTTGGTCATGATTGGGGTCTTCGTGCAATCCCTGGCAGACAAAAGGATGCCACCCTTAAGAAATCAGAACAAGCTGTGTCACATACACTGGCTGTCTTGTAAGACCCAGCAGTGATGGCAGTGGCAACACAAAAGCTCACACTGCTTAACCAGGGACATGATTTTAGGTCAAGTGAGAGGCAGAGACAGGCTGGCAGTGAAGCAAGCCAGTATTATCCTCAAAGCAAGAGGGAACCTGGGGGTTTCAAAAGTCTCACAAATATTCACCCAGCATCCTTCAGCTGTTATATTTTTCTTAAGACATGTCAGTATTTCAGTTGCTAGAAAAAATATGGGCAGAGGACTTAAGTTTTTTTCTCCTTCAGCCTCTTTACACAGCTCTGTTCTCCCACCAGCAGCAACAGCACAAGGGCTCCCAAACCATTTTCCTGGTTAGAGCTACTATCACCTCATCTCCTGGGCTTAATGAGCATGACAGTGAAGTTCAGCAGCCCTAATGGTATAGTCCTTCCTATGAAGCTATGCCATTTCAATTACGTTGTATTCTTTGGGGTAGGTCACAGGGCAGATAGGTCAGAATCTTTCTTCCTACTGGGAACTACACATTGTCACTGAACTACTGGGAACTACACTATTTGTCTGCCAGGAAACACAGTGATCTGCCTGAACAAAAATAAAAGCAATTACAAAAATGAGGCTTTGTAGGAAACAATTGCTTTTTCTTCCCCAGGAAATAATCAATATGTTAAAACTTCTCTATCAGCAGTACCATATGCAGAATGAGACGTGACTTTCTTCACAGCACAGAAATACACTGTGAACAGTAGTGACAGTGACACAAAGGGTCTGTACAGTATTCTGAGAGCCAGCTGAACTGGCAACAGACAGGAGTGCAGGGGAGTGCACTACCATGTATTCACAAAAGACTCTACATATGTACAAACTGAGCTCCTTTGCCTACCGCATTGTGAGACTGGCCCAGACAATTGTCAGCTGCCCAGAATACCAGATTCCCAGGGGCTGGCAATGACAGGCCAAATTTAAACCAATACTGGGCTGGAAGTGAACTTGTCATTAATAATGCATGAGACGTATGTTCTGTTACCTTCTAAACAGCATCAAAAAGTATATTCTGCAAAAACAGTAAGCTGGCACATTTAGAAAGATAACACTTTCTCTTCAACAGTCTGAAAATTGTTAGCGACTAACCTGTTTCTCAATATCTTCCAACAAACTACTAGCGCCCAGGCGAAAGAGCTCTGGCTTTAGCCACTCCACTCCCAGTTCGTCCTTCACCAGCATAAGCCAAGTAATAGCTTCTTTTGCTGTCCGAATACCCCCAGCAGGTTTAAATCCAACCTTTATAAAGAAAAAAGAAATGCAATATACATTTTCATTCATCACAGCCCCAGAAGAGCAATCAGCATTTGTACACCCGCAGTCTCAATGTGCCTGTGGTGTATATAGCACATTCTGTTCGGTAAGTATCTGACTGCAAACAGCGTTAGGTCTGGACTAGTGCTGAGAGCCATCAGGCCTCAGTCCTCACTGTGAAAGACAGAATTTTTGCCCTGAGGGGAAGCAAGGCAGGGAGTAACACTTTTGACACCTCTACACTTTCTCAGGAGCTGGGTTTGAGAGAACTTTGCCCATAACACATACTAGGACAAGGAATGTAGGCAGAGCCAAGGATATCTGCGTATCACCTACTGCCTGAGTTGTAATCTAATTCAAATAAATCACACCAAATATACATGCAGTAGTGTAACACCAACAATACTGAAATTAGGCATGTGATGCAGCTGACTTGTGTGAAGAGCAGCAGGAGAGATCTGTACTTTATAAAAAGCCTGTGTGCCACAGTTACACGCGATTGGGCTGTAAATTCAAACTTATTTGGAGCTTTTTCACTAAAATTTTCCAAATTTCAAATTTTAAATTATGTCTGTCTTTACCAGAAATTGAAATTGTTTTACAGGAACTGCAAAACTTCTCTCCCACCCACAATGGCTAAGCTTTCAGACACTACATGAGAGAAGTGTCATACTTGGTCAGGTGAACTGCCATGTATGAAAAACCTATCTTTAAGGTAGAGCATGCCTTGAAATCCATGAACCCATGAACCAACACTGAGGTGACCAGATGTGCACCCCTAATGCCAATCTTGGTTAAGTGCCATCTACACACATCTCATTCTAAGACAGAGCTTGTGATGCACAGTTACCAAAAGCCTGGTCAAAAATTTTATTGCTTGCATTAGCTCAAATGTTGGCAAGCAGCAGTTTCTTTTAAATTCATGAAAAATAAGAATTGGAAAAAAAGTGTTTCTTCATTAAAGAAGGAAATCTGAATATATACAGTAGCACATAGTGATGCTTTCTACATTTCCCTCTCCCTCACATCTTTAGTTTGGGTAGTCCTTCACTTTAGCCTCCTTCTGTAAGAATTATTGTTCTGGTTACTGTATATACATTCCTAAAACCTCAATGCATTGATGACTTCTTTGTACCTTATAGATATGATAGTAGAATCGAAAAGTATCTGCCTTTTAAATATGTTTGGCAATTTTTATAGCAATTTCAGGACAAACACACATAGAATAAATCCTTCTCTAACACTGAAGCATTGTGATAACAGCATATTTCCAATAAGATTATAAAGAACTATAACAGGAAAGGCTTGATAAATCCAAAACACAAAGACTGTGTTTTTGTGGATGGATGGATGCATGCATAAATGTATGCATACATCTGTTAACATTAGATTTCCAAAAGGAATTTAAACCACAGCAACTGGAAAAACATCTTCTAGACAATAAATTAAAATAGCAGGACTGTGTTTTCCCTCAGGAAGAGAAATCCTAATCAAATTCAAATTTAGATTTCTTCCTAGAAATATTACAGCTCTTTGAGGTAATCTGTGGGAAAAACAAGTAAAATACAGTTAATAAGGCAATTAAAACACCAAGCAAAATTCCTTTCCCTTTTTTGCAAATTCTGAAAGCTCTTTTCTTTGGGGAAAAAAAATAAAAATAAACAAATAAATAAATAAAAAGCTGACAAAGAAAAGCCTGTCTTCTCCCCCCATTTACCATCTTTCCAAATGGGGCATCTGACTGCCATAAAAACGCAAAAAGGAAGGGGGGTTATTTAATTCAAGAGTGGTATAAAGTCCAGCTACCACTTCCCTGCTGTTTCACAGTATTTCATTATTTTGCTTAATAAGTTCATCTCCTCAAGAATTTTCTCTTCACCTTATATTATTAAAAGTAATAAGTTTTTCTGGATTGGGGGTTTTCCCAACAGAAAAACCAATTTATGTATGTCCTTCAATAATGACAGGAAAAGATTATTTCCCATTATATTGCACACTTTTCATATCACCACTGCAGCTTATCATTCAATAAATGTTACTCTGCAACTTGTTCCTTTCCTCGAAGAAGTTTAATTTCTGTATTAACCTGTTTTTCCCAGCCAACGCCTTGCTAGAAAGCATTCCTACAGCAGCAAAATTAGTTTGTTAAAGATACCATTTAGAAATCTCTTGTCACTGATAATATTGTCTTCAGTTAATAAAGCACATGAAGTCAGTTTACATCTAATTCTCTGACATACACAGACATAAGCACTCATTCTTAATAACATATTTTATACCATGAATACACCCTTTTAAAGCAAAAGGTGAATTCAATATTTATATCCAATTATTATATGTACAACACTCTGCAGATGCGGCAGAGCCAACCACAGCTCCTGTATGCAGCACCTGTGCCGAGGCGAGTCATCTGGCCCAAGGGATCTGCCTCAGGTTGGCAGCAATGATGCTCCCGAAGACGCAAGACTATCCAAGATGCTGGAGTTGTTCCCTGTCAGAGAGAGATGCAGACTGGGGAAGGTAGGGGTGAAGACAGCCCAAGGATCCAAGCTGGCCTCATCTAGACATCTACAGAGAGGAGAAGGACACACATCTATCCTGCTGTCACCTGGTTCCTCAAGATCCAACAGCCCCTGAAGCTATCTCAGAGCTATCTCTCTATCCCACTGGTCATCCCATGTCCTAACATTACACCTCGAAACGCCATCTGCAGAAGGGGCAGAAGGGTAAGCTGGAGAGGACAGAAAGTGACCCAGAAGTGGGGAGAGGGTCTTAGCTAAAAATACAGCCGCCTTCCCCGAGGCCTCAGGAGACGACAAAGCCTACTGCTGTACATCTGCACCAGATCTAACTGGGGACATCACTTGTCCCCAGGATACAGGAGGCAAGAACTGTCTTAAGCCTTCCTGGAGAACCTCCTCTTTTCTCCCTGCTCCTCACTGCCACTGACCTCCCTTGACAGGAGGGATATCCCTGAGGGATAAATGGTGTAACGCTCTCTCAGCTGCTGTCCTGCTCTCCCTCCACCTCAGACAACAGGATCCAACTGGATCTGCCTTCTTGTTCCTTTGGAAAGCCTCTCTGGCTTCCAAGAAAAGAAAAGATCAGAATTTACTCTTTGGGTTGCCAGAACAAAGCCAGAAAATAGAGCTGTGTACAATGAATGGACTCTTGGTGGCTATACATTTGTATAGCTCCAATGAAGTTTATAGGAGCATGCCAATCACTGTCAGCTTGAGATTTATGGAGATGACGATTTAAATATCTTAAATGGTGAAACAGAACTCAAAACCAAATGCAACACAGGATGTATCAAGACTGCGTGAGCTTTTAGGGAATTAACTGACATTTAATCAAGGGAGGGAAGGCGAAGGTGTCTTTTGGTTTGGGATTTTTGTTTTTTTAATTATTAGCAAATGGAAAGAGGAATACAAGAGAGAAGTCCCACTTCCCATCACCTACTGCTCTATAGCCATGGAAGATAACATATGCAAATTTATATATTCTGCATTTTGAAAGTGTTCCAGTCTTATTTTCTTCTGAGTAAACCTGTTAGGTCTATCTTTAGAAAGGTCACAAGAATGTACCTTGTTGCCGGTTTGCCAGTAGAATTCTTTAATGGCTCGCATCATGACTACTCCGACTGGAAGGGTTGCATTTTCCACTTCTTTTCCTGTAGATGTCTTTATAAAATCAGAACCTTAAAGGAAGTAAAAAGGTGCGTGATAGTTTTAGAATAAGCCACTGTGCACATATGTAGTTCATGCCCTCCGAGGATGTCCTCATCCTTCACAGCAATTACGAAGCATCCCTTTACACGTCCCTGTGGTGTCGATATTAACCTTGCACCAGCTGAGGCTGGAACAGGAAGGTGAGTTACCCATCCGGTTTCTGAGCAACTCAGACTTCCCAGGGTCTAAATGAACAACTCAGCTTTTAATCCTTTGCTCTAGCTATCGCACTAACAATCTCTTCAGGACAATCCAATATAGTATATGTTCCCGTATGCAGATTCAATATATACACGTGTTACATCTGCTACACACACAAAAAAGAAAGATATCAGATTAACCACAATAAAGAAAATGATTTCCTCTAAACAAATGTTGCATATAAACTAACATTTTAATACTTCCACAAGGATCTTTCTGAATAAAAACAATTTCCATCAGATTTGTAATTTCAGTTTGCATCCATTTAGTCTCATATTTGACAGTCTAGTATCATATCTCCTGCAGCTGTTTAAAGTGGAAGGAAAGAAATCCCATGTGTGTTTATGAAACCAGATGTGTAATACTGTAAATAGGGGAAAAAGTCCTTTCATATGCATTTTATGATTGTAACATTGCAAATTACTATACTTAAAGCCATTGCCTGATATAATACAGTAACAAGGTCAAAAATTCTTATTTAAAGAAGGAGAGTTAGCCTTGGCTTAATTTTTATGTTTTCTCATTTTTATACAATATTCCTCACTGTCTCTCCTGAATAGTTGTGAAGTGTTCTTGTACATTCTTGCTGTTTCAGTTTGACTTAAAATGAATCCAGGAGCACAGTATTATGAAAAGCTAAGAAACTAAGAACAACAACAACAACAAAAAATGCCTTGCAGTGTATGATCCTGCACTGACAGAACACAATGACAAAACTTCTTTAATTGCATTAGGGCATACTTCACTCCTGGGAACCTACTTCTTAGAAAAGGTGTACTGTGGGATCATTAATTATCAAAAGTAATCGGGAGGAGAAGAGGGCTAATTCAAACACAGTGTAGTAGTGCATCATCCACTTAAGTCAATTGGAACTGCATCTGCTTCCACTTCAGATTTGGCTTAGGGTCCACTTTGTCTCTTATTTGAATGATGATGCCTCTGTGACATCCCCTAGAGTAAGAAAGGGAACTTTCACTACTGGCTGAAAGTAAGGAGTTGCCTAGACTACGTTTTTGACGGTGTGCTGCAGCATGCTCCAGAGACCTGTCTTTCTGATGAAGGCTGGCACATGGCTAGGTTTGAACCTGTTGGGAAGTTGAGACAAAGCCAGGCATGCTTCAGTGTCCTGTAGTTTAAATATAATTGAACTGTATCACTAACATTGTCTCCTCTAAGACCACGGCTCTTTCTGTAGGCTTCCCACCTAGGCATTGGTGTTTTACGTTGCACCACCCTACGACATTTCCCATTCGAAACAGAAGCAACTACTCAGGAAACAAGTTCTAACTCCAGCAAAGTTGCAGTTTGAAAAAGAGGCAATTAAGAGTTGATTGAGCTTTACAAAGAACTGAGCACATATGAGAGATAGTTGAGTTATATATTTCAGAGCTACTCCCTTTCAGAGAGACAGTATGGACATCTGATAGTCATGTTAAAACAAATAATAGTGGAAGTGAAACTTTAACAATGCCAAATTATATTTTTAATTTCCCTTTTAAAATGTAGCACTTAAAGTCCTTCAGCGCAATACTTTTCATTTTTTCTAGTATAAGGTAAGTCAAAGCTTTTATAAGTCTTATAATTACAAGTCTCTATGGTACAGTTTCATTAAAAACTTTCATTAAACAACAGCTGCCCTTGTATATGGTCTTCTAATCAATTTGGTCAAACAGAATGACTTCTAATCAGCTGTTGATAAAAATAGAAGATGAAATTTTAATTCTAATAGATTAACCACAAACTCAAGATAGTCTTCAAAATCCATCTAGCTCTATTCTCCAGTGGATTTAACGACTATTCAGCAACTCATTACTAAATAGAACAAGATGAACATTTTCCAGTTCATTAAAGAAATGTACTATGTATTTTTGCATTGTCCTCATGATTCGTTACAGGGAGTCTTAATTACAAGATAATGGATAATGGTTATTAAATGCAGACTCCAGTAATGAAGCTCTATTCATTTGCAAGCCTCAGAGACTGCAAAGAGGGGAAAATAAAATTACTAGCTTCAAAAGATTAACGGATCAAATTATTATTCAATTTTGAAAATCTCATTCAGACTTCATAGAAACAAGAAGAGATTAAAAACTAGTATTAGTACAAAAGTAGTGCATTTATATATTTATTTTTAAATAATATCTTAAGGCTATTACCAGAATAATCAGCTTTAGATGTGATTATTAGACAAACATACAGCCAATTTAGTAGCATCCTCTAACAATGAAAACAATACATTTTTATTTCCCGAACAAATTCTATTTATGATACAAGAGCTTCCTTGCAGGACTCCAGGCAGCCTCTCGCAGAACTCGGAAGATGCACGCTAGCAGAGAGCACCACAATGTACGTATTATTAGCGTGTAGATTTCAGTAATGAAAAGGGGGATTTAGAAATCAACTACAGCCATAAAAAGCAGCTCATTAAGTAGAATTTATGCCAGCCTTGTAATAATAAAAAGTGTTTCATCAATTCTATTTCTTACTCATGTTTTCAAAAACAAGTCTAAGGAACGAAGTTCAGCAGGAGTATCATCTGGAAATTTAGGTGATGATTTAGAAACCCAAATTTATCATGCATCTTCTCATCTTCCTATGAATGTGTACAAGCAAATATCAAGGGTGATATTAAAATACATCCTGGGTCACTTTCCTCTTCCTTAGGGTAGGTTACCTCATTCACCGAAAAATTAAGTCAAACTTAAAAAATGAGTTTATCAGTGTAGACTTGTAGACCAGTGAGCCTGGAAAAGGCCACACTTTTTACTCTTTTCCAGCGTGTGACCTCAGAAACGTATTACCTTACAAGGCAGTGAGTCAGGCACGACTCATTGAATCACTAAAGAGTTCAGACATCAAAGCCCTTTGAAACACAGCAGCATTAGATGCCTGTTTCAGCTTGGCTTGCTGCAAACCCAGTAACCCACCTGCATGGAATGCTTTACAGCACCAAGGCCCAGCAAACGTTGCTTTTGTGTAATTGGAGACGGAAATCTGTATAAACCAGAAGAAATGTGACCATTGCCAGTCTGTCCAGAGAAACCAAGTTCTCTGCACAGTTGAGAGCCAGGCCACTTGGGTTGTGGTCACATGTGTTGTGGCATGAGCTGGAGTATTTTTTTAAGATATTAAACCCCTCTTTGCTCTCTCACCCTTCACACACATTTCAGCCACTGCACTCAACCAAAGGCCATTTAAAACAAGCCAGTTGAATTTGCACATGCTAAATTAAAAGCTGTGCCTTCATAGCTTGTGTGAATCCACACCTAGAGATTAAGATGAAGCCCATTAAATTTATCTATCCTAGATACTTATATGGCCCTATTTAATGTTGTACCTGAGTGTAGTGCTGAGGCATACAGAAAAGGAGTGAGTTGCCCAAGGCCTCTCGGCAAGCTTTTGGCAGGCCAGGAATTGAACATCCTGGTCTCCTGAAGGCCAGAATAGAGCTGGCACAACTGGCCTAACCCATTGTTATTCCCTCTGTCATCTCAGAACACCACAAAGCTTCCTAGTCCACGTAAAAATGAAGCACAGCACGAAAACCAGAGAATGTTATTTAGATTAGAGCATCCAGGAAACGAATTATGGTTCCATAATTAAGCAATAAGCAATAATAAGCAGTATAGCAATCGTGGAGTAATCACAACCTTTTGGTTGTGAAGTGCTTCAAATGCCCTTGGGGAATGATTATCTCCTGATAACTACTGACTCTGTGTTGTTGCCTTACTCTTAATGAAGAGCAAAGATACGTCTGGCAGTTCTAAACAATAGTTCAGAGACAGGCGCTTGCAGAGGGACAATTATGCCATACTACCTTGTACATACTTGCAATGAGCAGAAATGTATCTTGGTTGCTGCAACTCAGATGTACCAATATATAGCAGCACAGGGTGAACACATGCCCACAAGACTTCTAATAGTACTGGCAGAGAGTCATGCAGAGGGGACCTGTGTAAACCCCTGCTGTTTGTACTGACAAAGTAGCAATGATAAAATAATACATTATCAAATATGCATAAAGTTGCAAGAGCAAGCCATCTTTTTTATTTGTATGAGTACCTAAAATAGGGGTCTTAAGATTCACACGTGGTTACCCCGACTAGGGGCTACCAGGTTATCAACTCACTGAAAATGAGAGGCAGGGCAAGATACAAAAGGCTAATGAAGTAGCTAATTCTTGTTAGCTGAGGCATTGTAGTAGTCCCCCTACATGTCCTACAACTCCAGTTGCAAGATGAAAGACATTTCCTTCCAGCTTAACTTTGCTGTTGAGGAGAAGAAAATACACATCCGTGACAACTCACTTGAGCAGGAGCTCACTGAGTAGCTTGAACTCCATCACACATGGCTACACTGCCAGACCACTTATTTAGGTACCTATACATGTTTTCATATGCTGGTGTCAAGCTACCATTTTTGAAATTCCTGGCTTATAACTTGGTATTTTGTGAACTTTTTCCTTTTTCCAATTCTTTTCTGAAAAGTACCTGTATGAGGAAAAAAAAAATGCACCTTGGAGCTCCATGTTTAATGTCTGTTTACAAATAAGACAACCTTTATAATGAACCATCCTATCGTCTCAGCTTCGTTTTCAAGACTAGAAATGGATGCTTCTTTTCTTGTACACCACCTCTGGTAATAGGCGATCTGCAGGCCAAATGATGCCCTTAGGAACACTTACGCACACACACAAAGGGACAAATTATTAAGTCCATACTTATGCAAAATTCCCTGTAGATGATCTCTGAAAGAATTCAGCATTGCT